TTTTACTTCTCCGAAGTAGATTTTTTGAGGATTATACATACTGCGGGTTACTTTTGATATCCATTTTATTTAATGACATATTAAAATTTATTTTTGAAACATTTAATTTAACTTCGTGTTTTTCAATTAAATACATTTTAAATCATATATTGCGTTTTTGTTCATATTTGCTAAATATTGAAGTTGGTTTAGAACGGATCGGACAAAGTGGGGGGGCTGATGAAATTTGGAAAAAATGTTTTGTAAATTGAACAATTTTAAATATAATATTATATACAGTATTATCACACACTAAAACTACTATATGAGTAGTGTGAAATATTCAATTATTCAACATTTTATGTTTTTGTAAGTTTAATATTTCTTCTTGGAGTAACATTTTTTTTTTTTAGATTCCATTTCAATTTTTCTAGTTAAAAGTTCTGTTTGAAGTATTTCTAAGGTTACCGCTGCTAATTGTAGCTCTAATTTGGACTTTTTTATTTTTATGTCATCTAACTCTGATGAAATACGTCCCATATCWTGCAGTTTCTTAATTTTATTTTGGGTCAACTCTTGTAAAGCGTCACAAATTTGTTTTTGAGAAGATAGATTTTTAGTGTTGGTTTCTTTGAATGGTGTGATTGATTAATGAGCATTATCTAACTYGTTTTCAGCTGCATTTGTAGCAGCATTCTTTGTAATCAATTGTGGTGAGATATTAGTTGTGTCATGGGTTATTGTTTCAGGACTGAGATTAGCTATAGACAACAAGATATTGTACAGATAATTTTAGTTTAATATAAATAATATGGTTAAAATATAAATGTTATTAAATCTAGTACTACTAGTACAACCCAAATTATCAACAGAAACATTAAATTCCTCAACGTTGCAATCAAAATGTATAACTTCCACATCCACATTCTCTATGATGTGATCATCCTTAAGTGTATAATCAAAAATTTCACATAATTTATTAGATTGACAATTTTTTTAATAATAATAGTATATTATACTATAAGTAATTGTTTATATTAATATTAATATGCTAGATCCTGTATTATGTCTGATAGGAACTAAAAGTTGGTGCATTTTTAAAAATAATAAATATTTATGTTTTAACTGCAAAACAACTAGTAAACTATACTTGAATAATTAAAGAAATAACTAAAAAATATGAGAAATATCGAATCTCATTTTGGTAATATTCATAAAAAGCTATAAAATTATGTGAAGATAATCAAATTGTAATTTCATTAGTAAAGAAAACAAAAGTAGTATTAACATTTGTTACTATTCCAGTTACTAGTTGAATATTTTTAAAATGTTGATTAATCAAAACAAAATTAGGTATTAGTAAAATGCAACAAGTACAAGATAGACTATATGCTCTACAAAAAATGTTCATTGAACAAAATTTAGCTTATAGATTACCTATAATAAAATATAATTATAATAATTATATATTATACTTACTAAAATATTACGTAAATCTAATATTTTAGATAATATGTTTAATAAAATGTAATGTAATAAATTATTACTATTATTATTATAATTATTATTACTAATAATAATGATGTAAACCTAACCTACCTGTACTTATAATCTTTCTAGTTGTATAACTAGTGTCATCATCGTATTTGTTTGAAAGTGGTTCAGTTCTATCACCAAAACTCCCAAAATAGTAGGGTTGTAATTGAAATTTGAATTCAATGATATAAAACATACAAAACACAAAATACCATAAATCAACAGTTTTAGTTATAATGAATCTTACCTTATCAGCAGTGTTAGGAACAGATAACAAAAAAATCATCTGGATAAA